TAGTTTTATTTTGTCATCTGTGAACTTGTTTTTGATACTTCCTAACCTGCCATCAAATTGTCACAAATTGACACCCAAAGCTCTAGTTTTTCAATAATGTGCGGTTAACCACTGAATCTTTGTTCAAAATCAGAATATTTCTTTGGTTAACCCCAGATTTTAGAAAAAAAACTAGAGGGTGGCTGTCTAGTTGCTCACAGTATTATGAGCTTAATCTTAAGTCAGATTTGAACTTCTGACAATTTCAACTTGTAGATGATTTTGAAGAAATGGTCAATTGGAAGCAAGTTGAAAAATATCATATATTTTGTAGACTGGGAAAGTGATGAGTGTAATGGCAGGTAAAGAAACACTACGAAACCTTCACTGACTACCAAATAAACTACACCTATTTCTATACCTGCTTTGAGAAGAAAAATACGCATATTTATCCCATACTTGGACGTGTTACAGGTACATAAAGCCGGTTTGTAAAAACTTTTATCCCATACTTGGACGTGTTACATGTACATAAAGCCGGTTTGTAAAAACTTATATTTTCATCAGCGGGCAGATATAGCTTTACGTCCCGCTCCGAGCGGGCAGATATAGTATATCTGCCCGCTACGTCACAATCGCTACTCGCATATTTGTTCATAATTTGTAACGTTCGCGTAATGACTGTAAACGACAATGGAGAAAACACAGACAATCGGGATCTGTTTGATGGTTTAAAAAAGAGAAGGAGCATCAACTTAATCAATCAGAAATTTGGGAAAATAAATGTGGGAATATTTGAGAGAACAGGAAAATCCGCCCACGGCCAAGAAAACAAAACTGGACATGAATATTCTAAAATATTTCCACGATTGAACAATGTTAACCAGATGACCAATATTGGTATGGGATAAACATATTATCCTATAGTCGGTTCAGGATATTGGGATTATCCCTTGGCCAATATAATATATTTTCCCTCGGGACCTGCGGCCCTCGGGCAAATATATTATATTAGCCTCGGGATAATCCCAATATCCTGAACCTCATATAGGATAATCTCTATATATTTGCATCAGCGGACAGATATAGCTTTACGTCCCGCTCCGGGTCATAATCCACGCTCGCATATTTGTTCATAATTTGTAACGTTCGCGTAATGACTGTAAACGACAATGGAGAAAACAGAGACAACCAGGATCTGTTTGATGGTTTAAAAAGGGAAGGAGCATCCACTTAATCAATCAAAAATTCGAGAAAATAAATGTGGGAATATCTGAGAGAACAGGAAAATCCGCCCACGGCCAAGAAAACAAAACTGGCGATTGAACAACGTGTACCAGATGACCAAGATTGGTATGGGATAAACATACTATCCTATAGTCGGTTCAGGATATTGGGATTATCCCTTGGCCAATATTTATATTTTCCCTCGGGACCTGCGGCCCTCGGGCAAATATATTATATTGGCCTCGGGATAATCCCAATATCCTGAACCTCATATAGGATAATCTCTATATATGCGTTACCACCCACTGTCATTGTGAGTAGTGTGAATCTCAAATTTTTGGAGCTATCAATATTTCTATAATAGGGCGTATTGCAAATTTTAATTTATTTATTTGAAATTTACTTAAATAGTTCATTATCAGGTATGTTAACAACTTACTTGGTACTGCCACAAAGGCAATGATCCACATCTCAATGCTGTTCATGTTTTGTTGTTAGAACTAGTCTCAGTCAGTTGTGCTCTGGTGATGCTTCTCACTGTGTATATTATATGTTAATGTGATAAACAATAAATGGAAAATGTCATCAGTCATACAATTGATATTTTAACTAGAGTGTTTAATGTTGGAAGGACAAATGTAGAAACTATATTTATTTTATTTATTATTTAGACGTACACTTTTAAATCAGTGGCACACTAAAAATATTTAGGTGCGTCTACAGTCAAAATACATACATGATCATTAAAATATCTAAAATCGTTCTTATAAGTCAGGTTTAAAAATCTTTGTTAAAAACTGTTTTACCAGTCCATCTACAATATAAAATTGATCGTGCCCCCATAGACTGAGAACATCATCACCTAACATAAAATAGAGTTTATTTTCTGAGGTACAAGATATAAAACATTCTCATTGCATTTGTCTAGTAACTTACAATAGAAGTGTGTTCTTTCTTTGTTAAAGAAAGAACATTCTACAAGTCTGTGTTGGATAGAGTCATCTACATTATCTTTACATAATATGCATTTTCCATCTGTCTTTCTTTGTGATTCATAATTGGAATAAAGAGCAAATTTGTTACATCTTGCTAAGAATTTGAGCTTTGATCCATAGAAGTCATTGTTTTGTTTCAGGTAGTTCTCTAAATTAGTGTGTTTCTTGATTTTTGAATAAAATTTTAAGGAGCTATATTCCTTAATTAATTACCTTAATATTCTATAACTAACTTAAAAATGTATTAACAGACCTGATTCTTTACCAAGTGACTTCTTTGTCAAAAACAATAGTTCATCAACTAGACAGAATGAACTATTCCATGTAACAAAATTCAAAACCAATTATTTAAGATACAGTTTTACAGTTCATCTGAAACAAACATCCAAACACTATTAAACTTACTAATAATATTCATAAACAAAAATGTTCAAAATATTGATTTTGATTTTGATAATTTCATCATTTTTACCAAGGAGGTCGACTTGTATCCAAATATTTTACCAGTATGCTTATGTTAATTATCAAAAGCATCGGCAAATGGCAGAGAATATTTTCGTCAGGATTTACCTATGTACTTTTAATAGCTTGTATGGGAAGTCTTGTCAGGAAAATGATATTTGCGTTGATGTTGCAAATTGAAAGTCATGGATCATCCGGTTCTGTCTGAATTGTTTGAAGTCTTTTGTATTTAAAAGGGCATCCAAGAACAATGGCTGCATATCATGACAATGAAATTTGATATTTTCATGATGATCTGAATGTCATATTGGCAAGCTTGTTTATTCAGGCTTCGATAATTTCCCTGCGCTGATTGGTTGTATGCAAATTAGTTCAGTCAATACAGGGAGTATATGCATAATTGTTGCATATGATAAGAGTAAACTGTAAAAACCTCTATGGTGGGCCAAAGTTCTGAGACTTGTGTAACACATTTCACTACATAATGTTAACTTAATTTTAAAACAAGACAACTGTGATATTTCACCTTACTACTTGCTGTTTACAATGCCCTCTTTACTTGAATATGTTATATTTTCAGGTTCAAATGTCAGAGATATGTGAACAATATCCAAATGCGGCCTCTAGGGCATTATTCTTGCTTCTTTATTCATTAAATTCAAATATATTCGATATATGAAATATCGGTAAATCATTTTTCCATTCGGTAAAAACGTTTATACACGTATGTTCGTTGCAGCAAATTAATTTTTCAAAATAGCCAATCACTTAATACTATGTGCATTAAATTACATATTTCATTCGCTAAATGATATGCTTTTTGCGTAAATTGTAATGGTATTCCTTAAGAGTAACACATTATATGCACAATATTGAGTTCTATTTGGACCCTACCGAAATAAGTTTGCCTATATTTACACGTGACCTCGAGATTTGCAAAATGGCCGCGCAGCTATTCTACATCGTTCAAATATATCACGTGACTGAAATAACGAAATTTATCGAGTGTGGCATTCGGTATTTACCGAATATAAATAATTAAATACCGAATGTACAAATAATTAATTGAATTATACGTGCGTTAAGGAAAACAAATTGATTTGCTGCATCCCACAAATACATATATAAATATCAAATGTGAATGCCAACACAAAGAACAGGTGAAACTATTTGGGGAATATAAATTGTATAGATTATTACATTCGATAAAATAAAAAAACATTCGATAGATTGGCTAAAGGTTTGGTAAATTGTTTGTTTTATTTGGTATTTATGGAATGTTTAATGTACCGAATAAAGAAGCAGTTAAAACACCATAGGCCTCCGCCACCAGATAGTGACTGTGCAAGTAATCTATCCCATTGGAACCACAACACGGACAAGAAAGGACTTGTGGATGTGGTTTTGAAAGGTGCATGGGAAACAAAAGCTATATCATTTGTGTTTCATCACAGATCTCATGAAAAGCAAAAACAAACAGTTTAGTTATAATGAGGTCTTCATCAGCAATTTTAATGACAAGTGAACTTTTATAGTGTGTGCATAAAGCAGTAATGGTGCTAAAAATGTGGTATTAACCAGGCAGATTTAAAGACAAACTTATGAGCAGTGTCCATGGACCATATTGAGGCAGAGAAATATGTGCATGTTTCAAGGATTTAAAGACACATTGTGATATGATGACATGACCATATCAGTCAGAGCCATCTAAAAAAGGGACCCATGTTGTGGCCATATTGAGGCAGAAGAATATGTGCATGTTTCAAGGATTTAAAGACATATGTGATATGATGACATGACCATATCAGCCAGGGCCATCTAAAAAAGAGACACATGTTGTGGCCATATTGAGGCAGAAGAATATGTGCATGTTTCAAAGATCCCTGTAACTGTTGAACAATTCTGAACAAAGCATTATCACAATATTCATTACATTTTGTATTTTTTCAAAAAAAAACATTTTTATATTATATTCACCATATAGAAAACAAAAGATTTATTAGAAAATTAATAGCTGATTCATTTTAATGATAAAACTTACTTCAATTCATTTCAATCCATTCTACTTCTATAATATATAATATAATAGAAAGAATGATGCACTGTTTGATACATTGTTCTTGTCATTATTTTGGATTTCGTATCTTCTTGTATGAGTTTTTGGTAATTAATGGAGAGTCCTGGTAGGACCTTATATGGTGTTGCATTTCATCCTTAAGAAATACAATGAGATAACAATACACTTAGATTTATTTAGTGTTTTTTTATTTTTCATTGAAGATATTCATTCAAATTTATTCTGCATGAGCATCATGGTGGAGATTTCTCTGAAAATACTTAGGCACGACATCCGATGACATCAAATCGTAGGGAAACATAACCATACCATGTTTTTGGGCTGATACGGATATTCCTTGCTTGTACAGATTGAAACATGTTCAATACTGGAGTGTGTCTGTCCTTATTACCATTGAAAACCTAGAATAAAATTCAAAATGCCCACCTAATCTGGGATTTTGCAATAGTTTCCTAATCTCTTCAAAGTGTTGCTATATTATGCCCATATTAAATGAATTATAGAGTAGATCATAATTATGGTATTGGTTTTCTAATTAATGCCTCGGATAATTAAAAATGGCTGCCTAAAGGAGGACTTTGTTATAATACATGTATAGAGATCTCTTTAAAGTATGGAATCACACTATGTTAGATCTGAAATATTGTGTTGTCTTTAGAATTTGTGCACTCAAACGCTTAAATTGGTGGAAATTTACATCTTGGATTTCCAAGGTATGACTGGGAAACGAGTATGGGAAATTCAGATATGTCTCCATTTGTCTCTTATTATCTACAAATCAAGAGTAAAGTAGATGGGATATATGCTACATTTTGATATATTCATTTGATTTGATTCATGAATGTTATGTCCTTTGGGATGAGTTGCTGATTTTGAGTTTAATATGTCACAATCTCCCTTTTCAAATACAAATACTTTTATTAATTCATTATATTGAACATTTGATATTCATTATCTTTATCATTTAAACTAGTACTTCGTTGCAATTACAATGGTTTTTGTAAAAAATGCTGTGAATTGAACCATTTTTGTAACTTATCATTTTATAAGAAATACCAATAAGTAAACACTGTGTAAGTGCTAGAGTTGCTAATTTAAATCATCCATGAATAATTATCCCAAATGAACAAAGTTTGGTAGGGTTATAGTGAAGCCCTCCGTCCGTCCATCCATCCAGAAGATAATTCAAATACTATTGGACTGATTTGCTTCAAAATTAGTGGAAAGATGCATATTGGTGAATAGTTTTGCGCAACAAATGGCCGCCGCTTTAGATATGGCGGGAATATTTCAGAAAATCTTTAGTTTATCATTATAACCCAAAATGAATATTATTGTTTGAAATTTAAAAGTATATTCACATCTATCTTTGTACTTTTGTCTTATACATTCCGAGATTTTCAGTCTGACCCCCAGGGGCTGTGTATGGGGGGGGGGGGGTTCTTATTTGTGCCTTGTAAAATTCAAAATGGCCGCCTTATGTGGGATTTCGCAATCATTTTCTGATCTTTTCAAAGTATGGCTATATTATACTCAAGTTGAAAGAAATTTAGGGAAGATCACAAATATGGTATTGTTTTTCTGATTTAAGCCTCGGAAAATTCAAAATGGCTGCCAACAGGAATTTGTGTCAATTTTGAGATCTTTCTGAAGTAGAGCTTTAGTATACTCAAATGAAAGGTAATTCAGAGTAGAATGCAAATATATAGTATCATTTTCTGATTTGGGCCTCGTAAAATTTGAAATGGCCACCTTATGTGGGATTTCGCAATAATTTTTTGATCTCTTCAAAGTATGGCTATATTATACTCAAACTTAAGGAAATATGGGGTAGATCACAATTATGGTTTTCTTTTTCTAATTTGTGCCTCAGAAAATTCAAAATGGCAGCCTAACAGGAATTCGCTGCTACTTAGAGATTTCTTTCAAGTATGGTGACATGATACTTTATTAGATCTAAAATATATTGTCTCTTAATAGTGGTCACCAAAATACTTAATTCGGTATAAATTCTGATATATCTCTAATGTAAGTATTTATATATATATATATATTCAAGGAAAGAGTAGATGGTAAATATTGCATTTTGCACAAATACAGATTCATATTATATGTTAAAGTGTTTTTTGGGACTTGCTACTCCTTGGAGTTGCAGTTTTCTAGTTTAAATTGTAAAAATACCATAATTAATTCTCTGGCATTATGTATTGATCATCACAGGTATTTTGAAATAAACTCACCCCATGGCCATCTCTCGTAAGAATTTCGGTAAATGGTGTCCCGTGATTTAGACTGTGGGAAATCATGTAAGATTTCACCCACTGATCACTATTAGCCCTGCCTTGTGTTACTACACCATACACTCGCTTCACCTCACCCAAGTCAGCCTGGATCCACTGGTTCTCATCATTTATTCCAGCAGCCCAGCAAGTAGACGCCCTTGATACACAATAAAGTATACAGGTTAATATCATATATTTTAAATACTGAATATATAAGGTAACTAGCTACGTTTGTCCACTTATAACGAAAAATTATTAAGATCAGGGGGACTATGTTAGTTTGGCATTCAAGAGACTGACCATTGTCACTTACCCAAGTCTTGCATTTCTTGGTGGATACGAAGAGTGACTTGATGAAGCTGTCAAGCTAAGATCAGGAATTCTACGGTGATCTCCACTTACAATAAATTCACCAATACATTCATCTATATAATGCAGACAATGAAATATCAGTGTTTTCTATTATGTTGATGCCTCATGAAAGTGGGTCATTTGAAAGGTTAATCCAGATAATCGGGTCTGGCTATGGTTCCAAAGCTCTATTTTGTAATTAGGAAATAATAAAGGATAATGTGTGAAATGTTGGAATTAACAATCCTTAATTTATTTTTTTCTGAAAAAATTGAGATAACATATTAATAATTAAATAGAATAGAAGTTATTGAAGTTTTAAGATGCAGTAAGGGAATTAACTGATGACAAGATATGGAAATACTCATTGGTTGCGTCCTCTTTTTAGAGCCTGTCTTTCTAAGCCCAAACCATGCAGTCAAATACTAAGTGTGATTAATGATGGCAAAAGATGTTAAGGATTTTTACCAGTTTTTGACTATGGAATGAATTTGTATTTTATATTTGCTAAATATACTTGATACTGTTTAAATAGTAAGGTTGTTTTGAACTCTACCTGCTGTATCAGGGAAAGCTGCTTTGTTGAGACTTTCTATATCCCTCTTCATAGCAGACACATCATCCTCTAAATCTTGGAGACACGATGTGCTAGTAACTACTGCTACTTGGTAAAATATATAAATATATATACTACTTGTATACGTGTATATTTTATTTTTTTGTGCAGATGTGTCAAAGGAGCGATGCTGAATGATTCATTTAATAATATAGTGCGTCAAGATCGGATAGTCTTATAAAATAGCTTAAAAAATATTCCAACTAAATTTACCTCGTATTGCCGCGAAGGCAAGAATCCATATCATAATGGTGTACATATCTTAAAATAAGAACTTAACCCGTCTGTAGTTTTGTTGTAGTGATATCTAGCTCTCAAGGTATATTATGTCATATATTAATGGAAAAACAAATGACAAAGGGTTTAGTAAACAGTGCATGTTAGTTCCATACCAATGGTTCTGTATGTTTAAAGCTTACAAATGTAAAATACAATACATTTATAAATAATAACTTAAGTTAATTTACTTCAGAGTAAAATGTTTTATTTTCGACGTTTCGCTAATCATCCAACTAGCTTTATCAAGTTTACATTGTAATAACATTTACTTTGAAGTAAATGAACTTAAGTTATTATTTATATGTTACCAGAGTGATGAATTTACACAGAAAAAATACATTTATAAGTTTAATGAGTTGTAAAATAAAATAGGGATTTGTGAGAAAATATGTTTTTTATATCATGAATGAGTAACAAAAACCATCATGTAATTGTTTTCAAAATGTTAAAATGTTAAACCATTTGCCAACTTCCTCGGTAGTATTGTAATTTTTTATACTCAACATATTCTATAATTTCCACTTGCATGTGATTTCCTTTACGTACTTTATAAAACCAAACAAGATGGTTGACCCAGTATGTACTCTATACTTTTCATTAGAGGCTATTGGCTTACAAAAGTATTTGCAGCTATATAAAATTGAAATAGTGGAAGTCGTTGCTGTATTTTCCTAAATACCTATTCAGTATTGAAATTGAGCGTGTTAGAGAAATGTAAATAAAAAAGTGTATTCTACTTGTAGTAAGTTCACTGGTGATCCACTCGATTACGCTGGTTACCAAAACGGTTCGTTTTGGTAACAAAATGTCGGAACATCCGGAAGGTACGACTTTTCTCGTTTCCTTATTTTACACGCTGTAGGCAGAATTCCCACGACATTTTTTAACACAAACGTGTATCAGTATCATATGTTTAAGAAATTGTACATATTTGCGAACAAATAGTTCAGAAGACAACAGAATCGTCGATTTACTTCCTCACTTAAGTTACATAAACGGTTTGGGTTAAAAGTGCAGATCTTAACTGTTTTTCGAAAAACCGTTTATGTAACTTAAGTGAGGAAGTAAATCGACGGTTCTGTTGTCCCCTGAGCTATTTTTTCGCAAACATGTACATTTTCTAAAACATATGATACTGATGTACGTTGTGAGAAAAAACGTCGTGGGGATTCTGCCTACAACGCGTGAAATAAGGAAAAAAGAAAAATCGTGTCTTCGACGTTCCGACATTTTGTTACCAAAACGGTTCGTTTTGGTAACCAGCGTAATCGAGTGGATCACCAGTGAAGTTTCTGTAGCTTATATATTTTTAGATATTAATCAGATAATTTCTGACACTCAAAATGATTTTTTTCTAATATGATTAGGTTTTCATGAAAAACAATTTCTTGAGGTTGATAAAGCTTTCTTGTTTAGATTTCAATATGCAGGGTGTCAAATAAGTCCCGTCACCCCTGCTACAGCTAAAACCTTAACAGATGGTACCTAGTGTAATATACCATTGGAAAGATCATCCGAAGTTATGTTAACCAACCAACTCTCAAGTATTTTGGATGAAATTTACCTATATTTTTATGATGTCTTTTATAGTTAATGTGTCCTCCTTTACTAGCTTTTTGCGTCAAAATGACAAGGATATGACCTCAGAAATACGTCAAAAAGTTAATCTTTTATTGTATTCCACTTGTTACAAAAGGTTTTCACCACTTTCCTTGCACCTCTATTTTCTACACATCTAACCCTATCCAGAAATTGGTTAAATTCATCGCTATAAACATATTTAGTCATCTTTTGGTCCCTTGACTTTTCTTATACCCGATTCTTAAAATCCTGCCAAATACACCAAATTGCCATGTTTCTAGGCATACGGTCACCTCAATTGATACAATGTAAAAAATTGTGAGAATGATTGACATGTGTCAGATATATGCCAAGGGGAGGACGGGACTTATTTGACACCCTGTACATGTAAAAACATTTATCATATGCTGTGGAGCGTAAACCCAACAACGTCTTTCAATTTCCATTTATAACCCTTAACACTGTTTAAGATAAAATATACTTTTACATAAATCTTAAGGCTATGATCTGTAACTTCGAAGTATTGCGAAACTTATGAGAATTGTACATCTGGGATACGTTCCTAATTACTCAGATGCTAGTAGGTAGTTACCAGTTTCGCCACCAGGCGGCTGATTCGGGGGAAATAACATGGCAGGGTATTACAAAATTCCGTTAAACTTGTATATGCATCAGTTTTAGTGGTTCACTTTTCAAATTACCCTTATGTATCTGATAGTTATACAAATTAAAATATGTCCAGTGAAAGAAAATATTATCTGCCCAACACAAGAAAAGATATTTCACTTTTTGTAGTTTTACAACATGGGGTCTATGAGGAATCTCCCCGACCTAAGGTCACATTTTCAAAGAAAATAAAATTTTCAAAGTTGATAAACTCTTTTCAAAACCACGTTTTTAGTTAAATTTTATATGTAGATTCCAAATATGACACCAGTTTGACTGAATTGTGAATTTTTAATGACGTAATCATTATTTCTACTCGCATCTAGGATATTGTCCTAGATAATTTTTTATTTTGTTATAATTTATAATAAAAAATTATTTCCCCGAATTTCAAAAAACGTTCCTTGATAAGAGCTAACAGAGTAACCCTTTTTCGGAGAGCCTCCTGATAATAAAAAGCTAAGAAAGGTTTCAGAGGGCCTCCCTAAAATTAAAGGAGATATCTTTTTTGTAACATTTCCAATTGATTGTAACGTTTTCATTATTGTAGCTCAATCTACAAAAACTCATATGATGATGTTACAATACATTATTTATTTGTGAAAATAAAAAAGGATATTAACAAATCATTAGTATCGTCCGTTATCTCTTGGTAAATGTGATAGCCCGCGTGCACCTTCTATCCACTGCCGTCCGTATTTCTCAACAATCTTCACTCCTCTAATGTCCGTACATCGTCCATCGAACATGTGATAGCCCGAGTGAAGATTCCTGACCTCTCCTGTTATTCGCTCCACACAGTTCAACCCTTGGGTACACCTAGTTTAATCAATCATTTTTGGGTGTTTCAAGATGTGAATATTATATGGAGAGAATGACAAGCAACATTTAATAGATTCTCTAACCAATGTGTCATTTTCCATTTCAAATACAGTATAGCTTTAGACCTTAAAACATCAATGTTAATATGCTCTCAAACTTTGAATATTTAAAAAAAGAAAAATTCTTATTTCTTTATTTTATTTTTCATGTTTGATAGAAATGGTATTTGTGGTTAAATGTTCATTATGCATTTTTCTTCAAATATTGCCCTTTGTACTAAGTGATTAACTCTTCATAATTTACATAAACCGCATGATCGTACCTGAGACTAATATACTCTATGTTAGTCTCAGATCGTACCTTGCAAATGTGAATCCGCATCTGGCCTTTTCGACTTGTGCACAAACAGTGCAACCGCACAGCCCCGGGCACAGAGGGGCTGGCACGTGTTCACATTCTGCATCGGTCACCTGTTCTGGAGAAGCCTGTGGGCACTTGGTCCTAAAACATTGCTCGCAAAACCCCGGAACTTGGCAATAGACAGAATCAATGTGAAACATCAGAATCACAGTCAATAAAATATTGAGGAAACGCATTTTTCGATTCTAAGTTGTCTTAAAGCACTTTGATGATGAATACTCCAAGCAAGATCGAATACAATCGTAAAATAACAACTATTTCAGAGATTAATATCTATTTTTTATTTTTCTCGATTTACCAATTTTCCAGCGTAATTGCATAATTCACATAATTTTAGATTTTAGTCGTCATTATTCCACATTACTCAATTAGTATGTTATTGATTGTTATTTTATAATTCATAAATAAATGGCAATTCTATGGTTGTATGAGATAGGAAAACACATTAGGAAATGGTATCAATTCGAGATAGCGTTCAATATAATCAGTTAATTGCCTGTACCAAATGAGTAAATAAATAAGAAAATAATGTCATAAAGATAAGCAATTTTAAATAAACGTCATGTTTCAGTTTGTTTTGTAGATATGATCTTTCATTTGGCGGTTTATATTTAAGACTTCTTTTTCGCACTTTTAGTAAGTGTTCGAAATATTTTCATGGATGAATCCAATATGGATCAATGTTTGTCACATGTACTTGAAACACACTGCCTTTAAATACATATTAGACTAATTTCAAAATTATGATATGCAATAACGATCAAGTACAGGCCAAAATCTAGTACTGGCCATTTTAAAACCAAAGTTTAAAACCAGTTTTGAAGAACGCAGTGGCACGTCCAGCTCATCGTTTGTACGTTGTCACTCGCTCTATATAGCTAATTGTAGAAAGTATCGACCACGAGAACATTTTGAGCATGTTCTAAGTTCTAGAGGACCTACCCGTTCGAGTACGTTCGATGAAGTTTGTAAATAGACCCCAAACGGTTCTAAGTACGTCCAGTCCGTTCGTACACAATTGAAGCCCGTTTTTGAGAACGTAGTGAGAACTAGTTTGGTGTGATAGTAGGGTTAATGCCCCTGTTAGCTGATGATTCGCTCTCACAATTCAAACTTAATAAAAATAAACAGAATTGCCATTACGATTGATAGATTTTCTCTTTATTATATACATATAGAAAATATAAAATACAATATGTATTACATAATATACAAATTATTGCAATTATATCTATACACTTATTATACACAACGGCCATGTACATAAAAATCTACAACTCTCTAACTGTGAGTTAACTCAATTCCCCATGTAGATATGGCATGCGTGTGACAATTAAATATCACATTTCTTATATTTTATACATCTCTGATATTTGAGCAACGATTTATACAATATACAAGATGTGTGGTTATTTTATATACACCACACATAGATAGATTTATTGATATTTTCAAAAGAAAAATTTAAATGTAAAAATATTTCCACAACCACAATATTATAACATTATTACATTATTATTACATTGTATATGTATTGTATATGTTATATAGGATATAGTTGTTATCATATAGAGATATGATTCATTTTTTGTTCCCTTGTTAAAACACTGGTGTACATGAAGCTGTATAATCCTTTAACAAACTAGAAAAACAGCAACTCCACGGAGTAGCAAATCCCACCGAACAAAACATGTTTTGATAAAAAATTGACCCAAATTCATCCACTGGTATTTGAATTATCAAAGATTATGTCTTTATGAAACATGGTTGCCATTTTGAAATTCAGCTGTCATCTTTAGATTTCTTCTTTAGCAGAGAATGTCCGTCCAATGGTATCTGGGTTATCAAAGATTACTCTTTTAATGAAAAATGGCAGCCATTTTGAAATTCAGCTATCGCATTTGAAATTTCTTCAGAAGCAGATCTCCTTTTCCCTAAACATCAGCATATAAAATTGGAACCAAATCCATCCACTAGTATTTGAGTTATCATTAATTACGTTTTTTACGAAAAATGGCGGCCATTTTGAAATTCAGTGGCCATCTTGAAAATTTATTTTTGAGCAGAACTTCTTTGTCTCCAGGCATCAGCATATAGAATTTGAACCAAATCCGTCAACTGGTATTTGAGTTATCAAAGGTTACGTTATTTTATGAAAAATGGCAGCCATTTTGAAATTTATCTACCACCTCGAAAATCCCTTCTTGAGCAGAGCTCCTATGTCCCTAGGCATCAGCATCTAAAATTTAAACCAAATCCATTCAATGGTATTTGAGTTATCAAAGATGACGTTTTTTTACAAAACATGGCCGCCATTTTGAAATTTAGCTGCCATCTTGAAAATCCTTTCTCGAGCAGAGCTCTTATGTCCCTAGGCATCAGCATCTAAAATTTGAACCAAATCCATTCAATGGTCTTTGAGTTATCAAAGATAATGTTTTTTTACGAAAAATGGCCGCCATTTTGAAATTTGGTGGCCATCATGAAAATGTCTTCTTGAGCAAGGCTCCTTTGTACCAAGGCATACAAAATTTGAACCAAATCCATCCACTAATATTTGAGTTATTAAAGATTATATTTTTTCAGAAAAATGGCCGCCATTTTGAATTAAGCGGCCATATTGAAAATTCCTACACCCATAAGGCATAAGCCTATAAAATTTGAATGAAATCTGTCAACCGGTATTTGAGTTATTGCCCGGACACACGAACGGACGGACGAACGGACGGACGGCTTTTCTATATCCCCCTCGAACTTCCTTCGGTGGGATAATAACAGGTGAACACAACAATAGTGGGATATTCACAATCTCCAGTGCAATAAATGAGTTTCATGAACTTATGGTTAAAGTGTCTACTGGTTTGTTTCTAACTCCTGATGTAAGGTACATTGTACAACATGAAAATATTATTTCAAAATTGCAAAATTCTTTGATGCAATTTCATATGCACAACTGAAATTCTTATAGAAGGGAGATGCAGTATAAATCTGTTATTATGAATACAATATATTGTTAAAGTTGACTACAACTTTTAACATTATGTTCAATGCACTTAACATCTATTGATGGTTATGTGAGGAAGTGAATTGAATGTCATGGTATATACCTACATTATAATACTTATTAGAGAACAGTCTCAGAGCCAGGGGGATTTGGCCTAAATTTTTTTCAAAATCATGCAGTTTTTCAACATTCTGAGCACTTTTCAAGTGATTTTGGCCATTTATGGGCCAAAATTGCTAAATGTGAGCTCCCCTGGAAATTTTTGAAAAATGAACCCCACCCCATTGGCAAATCCTGGCTATGGGCCTGGAGAAGTTTTATTAGTCCAATGTCTGATTCAATATACCCCATATTCAAGAATGTAACAGCATGCAATTTGCACCATCCATAGACTGACATGAACCTTTTGTCTGTAAAAACTAATTCTTGAAAATAGTTCTTGCATATGGCATAACAAACCAGAACAACGGCAACGCCAAAGCGTAGCGAATCCCATCGAACAGAAATGGCTGGCACTTTTACAAACGAATAGCAAATATCATAAAACAACACACCAGAAAGGCCACCATTTTCAAAATGGTTGCTCACTAGCCAAGATGTCATCAGAAGAAATAATATGCTTTTAAGTAGCCACCTCTAAAATCTTTGAAAAATCATACATGTACTTGTAAAATAACACACATAAAAATGGTGGCCATTTTTCAAAATGGCCAACTACTCCCCAAAGTTTTATTAGACAATGTGCCATGCTTAAAGTATTCACATATCAAATATGAACAAAATCGCTCCACTACTTTTCGAGTTATAGTAAAATACGTTAAAATGGCGGCCATTTTTAAAAATAGCCACCTTCGACCAAAAGTGTCATTTAGAAATAGACAGTGTGCCATGCTTATAGTATTCACATACCAAATATGAACAAAATCGCTCCACGACTTTTCGAGTTATAGTAAAATACGTTAAAATGGCAGCCATTTTTCAAAATTTTTTTCAAAATGGCCACCTTCTACCAAAAGTGTCATGGGACAGTGTGCCATGCTTATAAATAGTATTCACATACCAAATATGAACAAAATCAGTCCACTACTTTTCGAGTTATAGTAAAATCCGTTAAAATGGCGGCCATTTTTCAAAAAAAATTTCAAAATGGCTGCCTTCTACCAAAGGTGTCATAGGACAGTGTGCCATGCTCATAGTATTCACATACCAATTATGAAAAAATCGCTCCACTACTTTTCGAGTTATAGTAAAATACGTTAAAATGGCGGCCATTTTTTTAGTTATAGTAAAATACGTTAAAATGGCGGCCATTTTTCTAAATGGCCGCCTTCTAACAAAAGTGTCTTTAGACAGTGTGCAATGCTTATAGTATTCACATACCAAATATGAACAAAATCGCTCCACTATTTTTTGAGTTACAGCAAAAATCGTAAAATGACAAGTAAAGCCCGCCATTTTTCAAGATGGCTGCCATGTGCTTCTTTAATATCTACATTTGTAGCATTATTAATGCCCCTTATAATTTTTTTTACATTTAAAACATATTGCTATTACAGTTTTACATATTGCACCTAAATTACTGTAAAATCGGCCCTAAAATGGCCGCCATTTTGAAATGAGCGGCCATTTTGAAAATCGGCTTTCGAGCAGAACTTCTACCCCCATAGGTTATATGTGTACAAAATATGAACAAAATCGGCCCAACGGTATTTGAGTTATTGCTCGGACGGACGGACGTACGGACGGACGGACGGACGGACGGAGGCGTTCCCTATATCCCTCCGAACTTCGTTCGATGGGATAATGAGAGGAAAAGTTTTCTGTTATGGAGCAGGCAAATCCCCCAAACCTGGCAAAAACTTCTTTCAAAATCATGCAGTTTTTCACTATTTTGAACAGTATTCACGTGATTTTGGGAAGAAAATGGTAAAATGTGAACCACTCTGGAATTTTGTATAGTGAATCCACCTTGTCAAAGCTGGCTACAAGCCTGAGAAATTTTGTTTTTGGATGAATTTTAGGATAAGAGAATTATGTAACCATCACAAAGACAAAAAATATATGTGTAACACATAACACAGCACAATGAACAATGGCAATTATTGATAAAATATTTTTAATCAATAAGTGAACACACAAAAGAAGACACAATGTAAATATGTAAGTTAATGCATTCAAATGTGTAATAAAACACAGGCAGCACAATAATAAAGGGCAACATCACATAATGGAATATTGTGATCTATTTTGGCTACTTAAGTAAATGCTGGTTGCCGAGAGGTAGAACATAGAAAATATTGAACAGATCTCATGACTTAAATGGTGACCCTAAGTTATAGACCAACTGGAACACAGGGTTTAAATGAGGTGTATAATGATCAAATACTGTGTATACATGTTTTGTAGACTGACCAAATGATATCTTCCAACTAAAAATACTTCAATCATATCCTAGGATTTTTGATTTTGAGAGACATCTTTTAATTATATCTCATACCATAAGACATAAAAAAGCCAATACATATCAGAAGATCATAGGATATACTTGTTATCTCATACTCTACATTCAGGAGCATATTCATTTTTTATTTTTCTAATGTTTAGTTTCAACACACTTTTGGATTCCCATTTCCAATTATTTGAAGACGTGTGTTATGACTCATACTCAATAGATATTGCCACTTCCATATGAATTCTGAGACAAAAAGCTACCCCTTTATGCTGTCACAGTGCCTTATTGATGTGTACATATTTATATATGACAGTTCATTTTTTGTTTTTCTAATACATTGCATTGTTTGTACCCATTGACAACTATGTGGCCCTATTGCTTACCTTGAAATTGCAAGAATTTGACTACTGGCTATGTACAAAATATAACAATGTATTACAACTAATAAATAAACTTTTCACAACATAATATTATACAGAAAATTCAGTGTTGTGGTCAGGTCGTTTATGTCAATTGCTTCAATGTTAGATTCTATTTTAATTTCTATCAAATTGCAAAATAGTTGGATAGGTGTTGCTAAGGATTTCACATAAAGAACTCACTTGATCTGATCCAAATGACTGGGACTGCTAACACCTAATAATTATGTTCAGAAACACTATAAATGATGATGTGGAAAAACAAAATTAAATATAGCTTCCTCTTTCTACCCAACCAAGACAATGCTGACTTGTTCATTTGATATTGTCAGGAATAAGAGATTCACCGATATCTAATTAATTTCATTTTCCCAAACTTCTAATTTTGGACACCACCTAAACAGTATTGCGCGATGGTAATGGTGCATACAATAACATTGGAATTCAAATATGTCATCACAGAATGGTATTCACCATCAGTCATTTAGCATATGTACAAAGCTAACTGGGAACATTCCTCTCTGGCTAGGGTCACCCTCAATTTCTCCTTCCTGAAAAACACAGAAATTGAAAGTTTAATTTGCAATTGGAATTATAAAGAATACTTAATTTGTCAAATTATTGTGAAAAATAGGTCAATGGGTTCTACCATGAAGAAATTGAACTTTTGGACCTTAAAAATAATCATTAATCAATGAGTCTTCAATAATTCACTCACCGCCCATTCTTTATCTTCCTCATCTTCCCTTATCCAGAGAATCACATCTCCCTGTCTAAATGACAGTTCATCCTCTTTGTCAGCCTCACAGTCATAGATTGCACGACACCTTCGTCCTCTCTTCACACTACTTACAATCTTCTTCTACAATTCAGATATGTAATTTAAAATATTATGTTATCTCATTTTGTACGGCTCAATCAATAAATAGCAAATTCGGTCCTGCAAATATAGTTTATTGCAGTCTGTTGAGATTTCATAAAATAGACATTCAAAACCGAGCAAAGTTATAGATTAAAAATGATATCTGCCACAATGGCTCATGGATTTTAAATAATCAGCCATGTAATTATTTGTTAATTAAGTGCTCACCCTATTTCTTGGCTGTGGTCTAGGTGGGTCAATCCCCTCATCTAGCATAGCACCAACATCATTTGGAATGAGCTGGTCTTCCACTTCTTTACTTAGAGCTCTACTCACAGTCCTGGGAGCAGGCTTAGGTCTACCACTGAAATATCATTTAAATATTGAGATCACATTCTATTTCTACTGTAATTGAATTGGAATGAGTATGTACAAATACAAGGTGAGACAAAAAGTGGGTCCCAGGGTATTCTCAAATTAATCAAATTTCTTACTGCAGAAAAACCATCCTTATTTGGCATAAGTATAGTTTTCATAATAAATTAAACTTTAATAGCTGAAGCGATTAAATTCAAAATTTATTTTTGAGAAATTTGGGGGCCAGTTTTTAGGCAACCAGTATGTTATTTTGAAGTTATCACCTCAACAGATTAATGGATGGACAATGGACAGGATGATGGTTTCTCCATTTCCCTACTCAAACTTAGTTCAATGCGATAATAACATAAATATCCAATCATACAAAGGCGTGTGTATTAGAATGCTGCATTGATGAGTAACACAAAACTGAATGGTTTTAACAACATACTTGTTATCTTTGAACTGTGCAGGAGGGGGAAAAATTGCCAGGCCACTTGGTTGCGACCCATACCTTTCGTTGAATTTTCTGTGGGATTTTTCAGGAAGAGGGGGAGGGTCTGATGAGGTTCTCTTGTGCTCCATGATTTTTCTGATTGTGTTTGGATCAGAGGGTACCCTTGTGTGACCAGGTGGAGGGGGTGGGGCAGGACCTTTACGACGCAGATTCACATCCCGGTTAGTAATACCACCTGCAACATGAAACATGTGGTTTCTTCTTATTTATATTATGGTATACAGAAGGTTACAGTGGCAGTACATAAACTGTTCATTTAAAAAACTGTATCCAATAGTACTATGTTCCACCTTGATAAACCAAATATACAAACCCTCCCTTGGTAAAACCTCTATTCATCCCATATTTAGAAAGGTGTCAAGAAGGTGAAAATGAATGTTCATGTCAAATTCCTGTTCTCTTATCTTTAATTTATGAGAATTTTTTGACTTTTATTTACCTTTTATATACGTTCTATTACCCGAAACTCAAACAATTTAAATACCTAATCTAGTTACTTACTTTTATGTTTGGCCTGTTGTGAGGGTGGGGCAGGTGTCATAAGACTAGGGCGGCTCCCTGGGGTCTGAAAGGATGGGGGTGGGGGCATCTGCATAGATTCCTGACTTACTATACTGCTTGGTCTTGATCTTCTCCCTTCCTAAACAGCAGATACAAAACATTGTTGAAGAGAAATTAGTAAATATAAACACATTTATACAGTTTTAAAATACAATTGGTGTAGATTGGACAAATATTATCGAAATCAGAGCTATTCATTTAAAAGAAAAATTCCTTGATTATATCTGTCACTCCGAGTCCTCGGGGAATTGATTCATGCCAGAATTATCTGTACCTCTGGGTATAAAAGAGCTTCATGAATGTGGCTGTTGCAAGCATGCATATTCCTAAACCCCTGTATACACTGGCAGGTCAAATGCTCAAAATGGGGGCTTTACTCACCTTTTCATCAGGAAGGTCAAATGCTCAAAATGGGGGCTTTACTCACCTTTTCATCAAGTTCATCATCACTGTAATCAACAGCATCTAGTCCCCCCTCTGTGTGCATCAGGCCCCAGTCAATGTTCACATTCTCAAATAGCTCTGTCTTTCCAGATAAGGCATGGGTTAACTGAAATATATATATACAGTACAAACATTCATCTATTATGGAAAAACTTTGATTGTAAAATGTTATCTTAGCTTCTGAAATCCACCAGTTGACTTGTTTGATCGTATTTGAAAGTAACCTTCTTCTGATCCTGACCAGTGAATACCCACAAGATGATGAATCCAATTTCATTTGGTCTTTTATTATTCATGTTTGATTCAGGTTCAAATATGCAAGCATATAATATTACCATATCGATGCATAGCTGATTGCCATTCTTCCTGGCTATATCCAATGCTGTCTTCCCACTGTTGTTCTCAAGAACCGCAAGATCTGGCTTTACACGAAGCAGCAGTTTCATACACTCTGTCTGCCTGTAGAGCGCACATAGATGAAGGGCTGTGTTGCCATCGGTTGTTGTACGCTTCAATGTCTCACTGCAACAGAATATTTTAATAGTACACAGGGGCAGATTCAAACTTTTCACGATGTCATTTAACTCATTGCTGACCAATCCCGAGATATTTCGTCTATGACATCATTATTGTATGTGACCAACCCCGAGATATTTCGGGATGCTGTCCAGTAATTGTCACATAATCTGTACCAGTTATATAACCAAATATTCTAGTGGTCACTAGGGGAACCTGGTAGGGTGCAATTGAAATATTTTGTCATTGGTTTCACAAGTTCACAAATGGCATATAACTTGGGTGTTGATACAGTCTATTTCATGCTAATGTGTAAACATGCAATTTTACTTATTTTTCCATAAAAATTGCCAGTCACCAACAGAAAATCTTTAAAAATAGCTTTGGCCAGGAATGAGTTAATGGGTTATTCATTTAATAGGAAACCAAACGTTTGCACATAGAGGTGGCACAGGAAAAAAACTATAAAGTATTGAAGTTTATATATTCTAGGAAGTACAATTATGTTCAAGTCAAAATAATTCTACATAGAAGCTCCTATCAAAATCCAACAAGAAAGGGGACTGGAGTCAGCTTTCATCAATCAGTCAAGGAGACCAAACTTTCTAAAGGTTAAAATTGATATTTTTAAGTGACTTCATTTTAAACACCTATAATATCTCATTTTTCTATTTATGCATCCCTGCAACAAGGTATATGTACATATACTTAAAATTATGCTATGGGAGAATTTGTATTAATTTCTGCTTTCTTCAACCAAAGGGATTAATTTATTACTTGCTTACCTGTTTGAATTTTGTACAATGAAGTCTACTAGGAAGAGTGTAGAACCTTCTTCTTGTGTTATAGCCAGGTGTAGGGCAGTCTCATTGTAGTCCTGCAAGTTATAAAATGATTCTATCAAACAATGGTCCAATTTTCGAAAGAAGACAAGTATGAACATAAAGATGATGAACATTTTTGCATAAATGAGATCCTATGGTTTTGGTACGTATTTTATTTTGCTATTCTTTCAGTGTGCTGTACATGTTTGTTTAATTTTCATATTGTTGCTCCTGTATATCAATGACATAGAAATCATGAACAATATATACATAATATCTACACTTCTACAAAAAGGCAAGAACAGCTTTTGAGCTTAAACAGCCATTTGGTCTTCCCCTTCCCCAATAACTTTAATTATTTTTGGTATGTCCCTTCCCTCATGACTTAAATTATCTGCTAGAACAGCCATTTGGTCTGTCCCTCCCCAATAACTTACATTATTTGCTGTCCCTCCCCCATGACTTAAATTATCTGCAAGAACAGCCATTTGGTCTGTCCCTCCCCAATAACTTACATTATCTGCTAGAACCGCCATGAGGTCAGCTCCTTCCCCCATAACTTGTAGCAACTGAAAAATGTCTCTTGACAGCACAGCCTGGCGTAGATCTTCTTGTATTTCCTCACGATTTGTGCAGGTTTGCCTGACATACCGTCGTCGTTCATATTTGGCACGTATAAAATCTTTTTTCTCTTCTCTGAAAATACAAGAATATTATGATTTGATCAATGAGATACTGTATACAACATATATCTATATTATTTTGAACTACCTAATACATCATGAGGCTTTTATGGCATTTATACGAAAAGCACATTTTATTGATTTTTATGTCACCACCACAAGTGTGACAATTGTTATACATAACTTTTTGTGGACAGTGTTTGGCAGTTGGGGTTCAGTGTTTGGAGGTCGGTGTTTGGTGATGGGTGTTGGGAGTCTGTAACAAGTGGCAGTTTGTGACATTTTGCATAGTGCCTTGTCTTCATGTACAATATACTTGTCCATTGTAATTTCAGCATTTGAGGCAATAAGAACATTAGCCTCATCCCCTCAGTATTCTCTCATAACATAACTAAATAAAGTAACTTTATGAAGTGGGAAATCCTGACAATCAAATTATCCTTAAATCTGAGATGCAACAATACATTAGGGCTGTTCAAGAAGTTTTGCACAAATGTCTCTGACTAAATAATGAGTCAATCTTGTTCAGAGTTGGTAGGTATGTGGCTCCAAATTATTCCTTTACTTTGTCAAGGTTTTATATATGTGAGTTTACTGACAAACATCAGGCCCGTAGCCAGGATTTGCCAAGGGGGTTCAGTTTTCAAAGATTTCTAGGGGGGTCCACATTTGACAATTTTGGCCCAAATACTGTAAAACGGGTAATTTTGACATCGGGAAATTTTAGCGATTTTTCAATTTTAGGGGGTTTTAGCGCGGGAAATTTTAGCGAAATGAAGATTAATCTTTAAAAAATCAAATTAGCGAAATGCATTAGAAATTTTATCATTTATGGCAGAAGAATGAATAACGGACATGACAGAGGAATTATCAAAATGTAAGACTTCTAACGCACATGGTATTGGTCCAAACTACTGTAATCTCATCTGACTAATCACAAAATCACGGTAGCATTTAAAATCGTTGATTTTTCGGTCCAAACTAAAAATATTTACCTTTACAAATTACAAACCGGAAGTCGAGCACTGAACGAAAAGCTCCTTAAAGTGTCTCACATATTCGATCAAAATTTGCCATGCAAACATGTTAGTCTACTTTACTGGCCCCCCTTGCTGTAACAAGGAACACAAAACACATTAAAACGTATACATAAACCAATAAGTCAGACGATCACTTCACTATGAAAGCTAGGGGTGTTCAAGGCAAATGTGTATTAGCAGAATACGCTGTGTGCATGGACTAACACAATGTCAGTGGTCATTTACTGTGTCAACTTAGAAACCCTTGCATATCGTGCTCACTCAAGTATTGAATGATTTTTTTTATGATCTAAATGTTTGTGGTTTATAAAAAAGTGTGATATATTTTAGTTGGAAATACATTAATAAATATATTCATTCAAACAGCACTAGAATGCGGGAAGAAAGAGCAATGGTGACAAAATGCAGACAGAATTTTCCGTAAGGGTTTCAAACATTTCTGGACACAATCATACATGTACTTCATGTGTACTGTTATTTTTAGTGCTGTATTTATAGATATAATTTCACGTATTAAAATCAAATTTTCCAGCAATGACTTCAAATTCGGAACCACCCCCATATCACATTTTCTTCAATAACTCCAAACATGTGTAAACATTGACCATGTGCATATAAATTCAGATTTCACGAGCTCTTTCCTATTCAAGTACCTCATACACCCCTGCATGGATTTGAGTTGGATTCGCCTTTTATACGTGAGCCGGTACACATCGCAAACGCTGATTGGATAAAGATTGCGAGAATCTTTAAATACTAGTATTCATGTAGTTTCCCGGGAATTTGCAAATTTTAGCGCCCGGGTTACTTTAACCCCGGTTTATTTTAGTGAATTGAATTTTAAGCGAAACTATAGCGATCGCTAACAATCGCTAACAATTACCCCTCGCTAACAATACCCGTTTTACAGTATGGCTAAAATCACTTGAGAAGTGCTCAAAATGGTGAAAAACGGCATGATTTTGAAAGATGTTCTGGCCAGGGGGCGGGGGTTTTGTATCTAATTTAGATGCCCAACCTCCAATGCAAATTTGGCAATTAGTGGCCCAAAAACGTGCAGTTTTAACTTAAGACATTAGTATTGAATCTCCCCAGTATTAGAGCAAATGGGTATTGCACATTGTTTAATAAAAATCTCTTTACACTTCATAAAGATGGCACAATATATTTTGTCCAAAGCTAGTAAAATTAGGATAAGGCACCCTGTTGATGTCACTATGTGTAAATAAGTCACATTTCAATCAAGAAAAAATAAGTCAAATACAATTTGACAAAAACAACAATATTATATACATGTACTGTATGTATATAAATATAAATAGTTTATATATATAAATATAAATAAAAGATAAACATATATAATAACAATACATGTTACCACTTTTGAGATGACATTAAACATTTTGATTGAAGGATAGATTTACCAAAATTTTAGTAGAAATGAAGCAACCATCGAATGCGCAAAATAAATAAGAATTCCTTTAAGACAATGTAATGCTTGTGATTTGCTGCAATTATTTTGGAGAAAAATCTAAATGAGTGGACAGAGATTTAGGTATGCTTAAATAAACACCCTACTAAACTTGCACTAATTTTGAAATGCTACCCTGGGATAAAAGTCATCAGAATATGTTTTAGCCAAAAATTAAATAATTTCGCCAAAAATTTGATTTGAAGTTTAACATTTTAAACTTGCAAGAAATGCATGTTAATTGAGATAAAATCTTCAGGTACGTCTTTTATTTGCTGACTTTTATTTTCCTTATTAATATTTAATCCTAGTTCATGTTAAACATTTATTGTACCTGATAATTCAATGCTTTGAGTTAATCAAATTAAAAAATAGAGCATCAGAAACTTAGATGTTTAATGAACAACAAGACCACAATCCAACTCAAGATGTACACACGAAACTGAGGAAAACAGCCCCAAAGATATAAATACACAATATAAGATAAAGAATAATACCAGGCTATAAAAAAAGATGAAATTTATAGCACCATGTACATAATTTTTTATTTGAAATGGATGTAGAATATGCAAAGTGCGAGATTATGAAGGGAAACATAACCTTAACAACAGCCAGACACTGAGGTATGAACCAGGTGTATTCTTCAAAAATTAATACAATTAGAATCAAGTAACACAGTCAAGCTAACCTAACCAAAGTTGTAAACACACAGTAGTTCTTCTAACATGTCTAAATGGATTAAAAGGAAAGAATAAAACAACAACAACAGGATATTACAATGATTTCGATGGTATGTACATGGTTGTTCATTTTGATGACATGTCTGTTGACATTAATAAGTGCAAGTTGCCCGATCGGATTAGAACACAGTGGCTCAGTGCCCGACGGTGCATTTTCAGCCACGTCTTCATTAGACAATGACCATTCACCAGCCAGGGCTCGTCTTAACTCTGACACAGCATGGTGCAGCCAATTTAGGATGCTTGACCCTATAGGAGTATTAACAGTAGACCTCGGCCAACCAACCAAAGTTACAGGGATCATCATCCAAAGTAAGAATCACTCATATGAAGTTAATACAACACAGTCTTGCATCAAGCTCATGACTTACTCCATTCCTAATATTTCAATTGCATGAATTGTTTTTGTTATTATCTAATAAGGGGGAAGGGCGACAAAATGAACCTAATCAATTTAGACAATCATGTAACATACCATATATATAATTTGATTAGAAATCTGACAAGCTTTATATTATTTGATAAAATATTTAATATATTTTGAACAATTCATAGGGTTTTGTGAAATTCATTTGTAGTCTCTGTATTTGTATCTAATTCAATCATTATACATGTATTGTTGAATCATTGTAGACAACACATTCTATGTGAACTACACAATCTTATGTTAAAGACATTAAGTTATACATCAACTTAATTAGGTAGAAACATGAACTCTATAATTTTAAGGTGGAGAAATGAATATTATTAATTTAAGGTGGAAATATGAACTACATGTATATAATTTTAAAGTGGAGATATGAACTATGAGTTATAATTTTAAAATGAACTACACTATTTAATTATAAGGTGGAGAAATGAACTAAATAATTTTAGGATACATGAAGTATTATGAACTACATAATTTTAAGATGAGGGCATGAATTGTATACTTTTACCAAGTTGAACTATATCAATTTAAGGTGGAGATATGGGGAGATATGTGGAGAAGTTCATGATTGGACATGGTGCTAGTCCAGACCCCATGTCATCAGATCTACTACTAGATTTACAAGGAAGACCTGTGGTAAGTTGAATTAAACTTACTAACTCAATGTTGCTTGTGGCCATGCTTTAAACTAAGTTCTACCTACAACTTGTAAAATCAATTTAAAGTTTACATTTTCAAAATGACAATGTAAACTCTACAAAGGTGGGTGGGTAGTCAAGCAGTTAACAAAATAGACAGTGTATAATTAATTTTGTGTGACATCTTTGAGATGACCCCTTATATGTTTATTCCAAAATTGAGGGTTTATGTTATGAGAAAAGTCTAATAAATAACTGTTTGTAGGAATTTGATGGTGTTGATAAACCTGGAGATACAATGAGAACCATAGTTCTACCCCCTGGTCAGATCTTCACTTCCCGATATGTTGGCTTGATCACCTTATTGTTCATGGATAAATCTGGTGCTATGTTCCCTTCTGTTTGCCTCAGATTGGAGCTATTAACAGAATGTAGTAAGTACATGTACAGTAAAACCTGTCTTAGTGAACACCTCTCTCTAGAGAACACCTGTCCCTAATAGTAGACACCATCCATTCTGATTTATCAGTCTCTCTTTAGCTAAAGCTTGTGAAACTGTAAGAAACTCTATTTCAAGGGATAGAACAGACTGTGGGTCCCACTATGGTGTACATATATGTCATCTTTTATCTTTTCAAATGAAGTTATGATTAAGGCTTGTACATGGCACACATTTAATTGAGGCCATCTTGACAAAAACAGCACAAATTATGATGTGTACTATAGCGATGATAAATGGAAGTGACCCAGTGACCACAAGTGGGCTCTCATAATATTTCAGTCAGGGTCACTCTTAAAGTGTGCGCCTGACCCGGCTACGTATAGCACAGAGTTTATACTGGCGGATTAGACTAGTTCATTTTTCATATGTGTGTGAAAGCTTTCTCTTATTTGCGTTTTTTCGTTTAGTACGGTTTTGTTATAATTGCCGAGGTCATATAACCGGGATAAAACAATGATTATCGTTGACTGCCCACACACAAAACATACGTTGAGTGAACAGTGTTATTACAAACAACAGGCTTTAGAATACAAAGCGTAGTGTGATAATAAGCTGTACACTACCACAGCTGCATGTCCATATTACTAATTTACTAGGGCTCCCAAAGAGTGGATAGGGAGGTTGTGTTTGTCACTTTTAAATTTTACATTTCAAAATTGTCATAATTTGTTGGTTTCATTCGTTTAGCCAATCAAAACATTGTAAAACAATAAATTGTCTGTTACGTACAATCAATTCTGTTCAGTTTTGATTAGTTGTCAGAATAAAGTTACGTTCATCTGAATCCATGTACTAAAACAAAAATCCTACTTTCACTTCAAAATACTTCAGTGAGATGAAGGCTCGGAATTGTCACATGCAATAACTTATCGTATTCGTTATTTTATCTTCTCGATAGTAGCATTTAGTCGTACATTTGATGCCAGGTCACCTTGTCGCGTACCTCTTGGGGAACCCCACATTTATGTGTGTACTCATGGAAGTAAATTCCCCGGTGTAGCCGAGAGCCACAAACTTTTCAACGGGTTCGAAATGACCAATTTCTCTCATATATACTCTAAATATTTTATTATTTAGCACCTACAAAGTATTGCTAATAACCATATGTAATTTCAATAAGGAACCTTATCTGGCTACATATAAATTCAATATCAACACTAGCTGTTCTCTCAACACGCCCTGGCTTACCTTGTGGTGACAAACCCTGGATTTTCGCTATTTATAGTTTATCAACACCTGGACGCATGCGCATTTTATAGTTTATCGGGCACTTTAAGTTCATAATTGTAAGTGACTGTCACATGATTCAGATACAGAAGGTTAGAAACTCTTAAAGAAGCAGCAATAGAATCGACGAGAGTAAAAATGTTGGAAGTAATCTTATCATGCCAATGTTTCCATGTCAAACCTAATTTCATTTTCTGAAAAAAATTGAGATACTTGATGAAGCATGAAAGACACTGGAGATTTTTGTGCTGAAAAGTAACATTCCATTCATCTACAATATCCAAAAATTGTTCTAATCATTAAATCCTTATCAATTATCCAAAACCCTAATATAAAATCTTAGTTACAAAATTCCCAACATTCCCAAATCAATTTGAAGACCTTCAAAATATAAACAAAACCATGCAACTCATTTCCTTAAGAAAACTTGAGATGAACCCGCAAATCAGCTCACAACAGAGCCTACAGTCAGACTAGGCTGCCTTGAACAAAATCAAACCACACTGCTAAGAACTTTATCCCAGAGGAAAACAAGTTTTCATCAAAGCAATCAAACACCAATATACTTTAAAGAAAGCACTCTTTATCCCCTCTAAAGAAACTAAACAGTGAAATTAATGTTTCAATGTACCACTCCAAAAAATACTACATGTACTTACGATAAAACAGCTCAAACCATGTTAAATAAATAGCACCGTGGGTACTGGGCTCAGATGGTGTTGCTCAAAAGTGAATGATGGCTAAAATGGCAGAAAGCTAGTAAATAAAGCGGATATAATTTTTGGTGATTTTTTGTAACAAAATTATTTCATACAACTACTCTTTACAGTGATATGGCTTATTACAATGCAGGACACCTGGAATTATTTGTAAAGCTAGGAAATGGGCCATAAGTGGATTTCGCGAGACAAAAATTGCGACCATTTGGAAAATAGGCGAGCTTTTGTGCCTCCCATATATGACTTTGTATCATATTGATGTGATATAGCGTTCTGAAGGTTTAATGGAAAATTGCCTGTTTTATACCCAAAACTTTAGTTGGGCAAAGCAGAAATAGAAAAAATGTGTGAATACTTTCAACAATTACCATTATCATATTATCATTTATTTCTGCCTACGTTATTCAGGAAATTTCCCTGTTTAATCCCAATTTGGTTGATTGCTTTATAACTTATTACAGAATGATTCTTTATATATAATAACTATAGAAAATGTGACCTCTAAATATTGTTCATTAATTAATTAGCACTGAAACATAGTACCAATAATTCATATTTTTTTGTTATCAATCATGTTCTGTCAAAATCAAATTTTGCATCCAGAAAATAGAAAACATATCACCAGGTCATTAATCAGAGATTAACTTTCTTCATATTAACAAGCTATATCACTTCATGTCAAAAATTAGTCTGTATCTACAGACGTTGATATTCAAGGGTGAACTGGCTGTGGATCCCATAATGTCTATTTACTATTAGATACCTAAGATATCATGCAGGCACATTAAGCCCTTGTTTTATCTTGTCTTGCCATGTTTATTTTAGACATGTTTTCTACTTAATAATTATCATGCTAATTGCCAAGATGTTGACAGCTTCAAAACCAAACCAAATAATTCTAAGATCAACCGAAATAAATAAGAAACAGAAAGCAGGCAAATGTTGATATGAGCTTTTCAAAAACTGAGTCTATACTAGGCAGAGGGTAGTAACTAAACTCTCAATGCAGGGTACAAGCTCAGGCAGTTTGTCTTTAAAAATACTGGTAAAGGCATCAATTGGGAATATTTAGAATTTTGTAGTCTAACATGTCTTTATTACATAAACAAGTACATGTACACCAGATAGTAAATTTATTTTTTTGTATTTGTGATTGTTTGAACCTCCAAGATCGATAAACAGATTTGTGTTTGTGTTTGTGAAAATATCTGCAAAGCATTACACTAAAGAATCAATTTGTAGCAACAAGAGACCAACAAATATTTCTGTATTGATAAAGATCAGTTGTTTTTAGCCAATTACACTTTGCCACATATCCATCAATAATTCATGATCGAGTCAATGTCTTGATTTAAACAACCTGTATGAAGTAGAAAACATCTCAGAAAGCATGCAAGGATGTGATTAAATAACACATCTAAGTACCTCATAGAGATGAATAATTAAATGCTAATAAAGAAAGTGTGTTTTTGTTACATTATAGCGACCACATTAACCCCCACAGCTGTTTCTATGACAACTGGTTCACCTTTCATCCCTTCATCAGTTGCCATAACAACAACCACAGACACAACAACCAATTATGTTGATATGACAACTACTACAGAATTGCCAACAACAAGCCCCGCTACCACAGCAACACCAGGTAAATGTATACACACTATGCATTCACTGCAAGTAAATAGCAAGATAGAACAGTTTTATTAAATATGATAGACTTGCATTCTTTCAAGCTGAATTATTTACAGAAAAAATGTTGATATCAAAAGTCTATGGGTAGTGCACACATATAGATTGTTCTGATTTAAAACATATATTATGTTATCAAAGCTATATATCACACATCTTAGTTTTCTGCATGAGCAAAATGCAAATTCTGCATGATAAGTCATATTCTGCACCAAATTCTGCATGAAATCCAAAATTCTGAGCCAAATTCTGCATAAAATCCAAAATTCTGCATGGAGAATTGTGAAATTTGTGTCCTAATATGCATGAACTATCACGAAAGTTCAGTTCAAATTTCGTGACATATTAGACATAATCTCTAAATGCAAAGGCAAAGTTTGAGAATCTAAACAACTCTGAAGATAAACAATTGTTTTTAGGTGTCTAGGTAACAAATATGAGATCACTCAACAGTATGCTGCTTGTAGCAATATATTTTTCTAATTAACAGACATGACAGAAACCCATAGTGAGATTAGCACAGGTTCTTCAACAGAGAAGTCACTTGGCACAACTGTACCAAGTGAGATAACAATTCACACATCAACTGATACAACAGACACCACTGAGCCAGATGAAGGATTGATTAACACATCAACTGATACAATGGTCACAAATGAAGAAGGTGAGGTAACAACTGTTACAGACATTGATGTACCAGATGAAGGATTGATTCACACTTCAACTGACATTCAAGGAATAGATACAGATGAAACAAGTAAAGAACCAACAGTTGTCCTTACTACAGAGATACAGGCTTCTGTGCCAAGTAGTACTATACCAAGTCACACTGCTACTTCTTACTTTACAACAACTAAACAACAATCGGGTATTTTTATAGTCCCATTTCTTACTTCTCCTACACAGGCTATGTTAAAATATGTCAAAACAAAACTTCAAATCCAAAACAACCGACCAGTTCCAACAGTGTTAAACAAACTGTACATGCAATTATAAGGTTTAACTACCAGATATCGTAGTAAAGGGTGACACAAAAAAAGACACCCACCTTACATTGCATCACTTGTTTCTCTATGAACATATTAGCCTATATAGTCTGTCCTTTAGCACATGATGTATAATGCGAAAGCACCCTGAGAAAGTTCAGATGTGTGGCACAAGTGGGTCAAATTTTATGAGCGTTACAATATATATTCTACACGACGTCCACTCCTTTGCAGGCAAACTTGAATTCTACGGGATCGGCAAAGTTGTTGATTACCCTTACACATTGAGATATAGCCCTGATCTTCCTTGTAATTTCTCTCTTTTAAGTCAGCTATGGTTTGGGTATATTGGTATCATACACATGGTCCTTTAAGTACCCCCAGATGTAAAAATCTGGTGGGGTCATGTCAGGGGAATCAGGTGCCCATTCAATCTTAGATCTGCGGCTAATGAGAAAGTCTCCAAAATGAAAATATGTTGTAACGCTCATAAAATTTGAGCCACTTGAGCTACACATTGAAATTTTTCTGGGTGCTTTTGCATTATGTCTACTTTAAATGTGCCAAATAACAAGTCTATTATGTTAATGGACAAACAAGTTATGCAACGTAAGGTGGGTGTCAGTAGTTTGCTTTGTGGGTAACACGTAATGAGCTGCATCAAATGTAAGGATAAAAATGTATTTTGGAATCAGTATTGATGGTGCAAGAATGTATTGGCTGGTAACTAGTACGTAAACAGTCCTGTATATGTGCTTTCCATGTCTTTACAGTGTTCGTTTGTGACAACAGGAGAACTCTTGAATGTACAACAGACTTGCAGGACAGGTCAAATATGTCTGCAATGTGCAAGTAAGAAACACCGTCAATACAATCTCCAGAACATAGTTATAGAGTAGTTTGGTAGTATGAAGTTTTTGTATGTATTTTTGTATGTAGTTAGGATGATATAACACACAAGACTACAGAAATTACAAGAAATGTAACATAATAGAAATTACAACAAATGTTGATTGCAAAAATATTGTGTCAAAGATATGAAAAATATTTAATTTCAGGTTGGTATTGTTAAACAACATGGCAAATATCACAGATTGTGTCAACGATCGTATTTCAACCTGCCCTCCTGAGGAACAAACCAGACTTGAAGCTCATGTATTACAACAAACAAATAACTTGACAACTGAGTGCAATAGTAGTAAGTTTAGGTTAAAAGCATTTTTTGACTTTATTCAGGTTATTTAAAATATGTGTTATAGCAGAGAACTTGACAATTAAAAGCAATATTATTACATTGCATACATAATGTTGGTAGAGAGTCTTTTTAGCATGCATATGACTTGCTCTGTCCAATATGGACTTACAGATTTCAAAAGTTTTAAGTATTTCAGGGACTTAAGTACATGGTGTTGAAAAAATAGACAGAAAAAGTAGACAAATTCAAATATTAGCCCAAGTAAGCACAAGTTAAGTTGAAATGAAAAATGGGAACTTTTTATCATTATTTTTAAATTAATGAAGGGAAAGTAACCAATGAAAAATCACTCTCTTCATGTTTTGACTTCAGCTTGTCCACACTACATACACAAAGCAGAGACTTTTCCGCAGTGTTATATGAATATAATTGAAAAACTGGACAAGTTCAACGACAATGACGAAAAGTTGGTACAGTTTTGCAGGTAATTCATGTGAATAATTTAGCAAAAGTGCCAAAAGAGAAATACCAAAAGAGCATAACAGCAAAAAAAGAAACATCTAATAACACAACCGGTCATTCAGAAAAAAACCAATATAATATCCAAAACTATGATCTGGTGTTTACAAAAATTGTATATTTTCAAGAATAAATAACTTAAGAAGAGTACACTAAACCTTTGTCAGAGCTTGACTTTTTCATATACTCTTTGAATTAAAAGAAATTATGTAGAATTGTCTCAACAGTCAGAGGGTAGTACCCAGAGTTGATGGATATTCAGGGTAATCTGTAGTACATGTACCAGGTATATGTACCATAAGAATATGTTCCAGGGAGTATACTTTAATGAAGATTTGTGCTGATGCCAAGTTATTCAACTGTCCTCTTTTACAAGAAGACCATGATAGATATGTCAAACCTGTCAAAGATATATTAGGGCCAACATGTAAAGGTATGCAGAATTTTACGACTTTCTATATAAGGGTATTATCCAGAGGGATAGCTAACTCTGGACGCACAAGCAAAGATATTTCAAAAGATACGAAGTTATGCATCAAAAAAAGTAATTTGTTTTTCTGAGAAAATGTATATTTATTTCCTGGAATATAAACCTCATATTTAAGCCTCATCATTGCAAAATTTATTTATCAATAGCAGTTGATCTAATTTAATATTATCATGTATGTATTTTTTCTTCAGGTTCAACATTATACCCAGCACTACTTGAGTGGTCATTGTTGCTCATAATACAAGTTACCATGACAACAGTTCAGACATCAACACCTATCATCTAATAAAGTATACATTGATGTGAAGAGAGGCAGAGATCAACAGGATTTAAAGATTGAACACCATTCAACTCATGAGACAAGAAAGTTATTCCTACTCTCGTATTCATATAAATAGACTGCAATGGCTGGACAGACAATCTGCACAGATGTTAGTTACATCTGTATAGAAATCATAGGACATATCCAAAACATAGATGTTACCAGTGAGTCACCATGCATGCTATAGACAACAAACATTTGTTTTGTAAATGGGTTAATGAGGCCTCTAATGAGGCATAATTGGAGTCATATACTATAATACAGAAAAACCTGTGTACAGTGAACATCTATGGAGCTAGACACAGGTGTTCACTAGACAATTGTTCACAAAGACAGGTTTTACTGTATGTATCATTAGTGTTTTTTTGCAGCTTGACACTATGTACATTTATTCACGTAATAGATACTGAATAAAAAAAAATGATTGTCCGATACTCACATATTGCTATCAGGTCTAGGCTTGACATCTATACTTGGCAAGGTGGCCTCAAATATATCATTGAAACCTTGGTTGCTCATCACTCGAGCAATCTAGAAATAAATATTTAAAAAATTTGATGAATTCTAAACTCATGTTTGTTTTCCTAAACATCTGAAAAGTTGAGTGATTTGATTGAAAGCTGTCATTTTCGAAATTGTCAAAATTAATGATGTGAGAAACATATGTCAGTCACATATTAATAGAAATTACAAACTGTATTTATAAGTTGACTTTGTAGGTGCCAAAAATGAAATGTAACATGATTATGGATAATCAGTCATTCTTTTTCAAATAAATGAATTTGGATATGCTTATGATACATACCAATAATTGAGCAGTTCCTATTTCATCTATAATTATTGACTGAGTTCTTGATATGTGTACCCCCATCTCTCTATGTATTCCACAGCACTCTAGACAGATCAGTACTCCAAGGTTCGTTGACAACCATTCTGGATCTAGTGAAAAATTAATTAAAATCAAAGATTATTTCGTAAATAAACAACACATCGATGATCTCGATAATTCTATCATTAGAATACTTCCCATTCATTATTTTCATTTATGTTATGAAATTCACAGGATTTAAAATCATCAGACATTAATTCTGCAGATTTCATCATCATTGAAGTTTTTTGAAAAAAATATGGTCATTGAAACGAATGCAAAACTGAAAGAAGTTAGGCCATAAGAAGTAGATTCTTTGTTTTGCGTCCTGGTAAAAACCAAATCATGCAAGGGTACAAGGAAAACAAACACAAACTCAAGAAAAAACACAAACTTGTTTGCTGAGAAATGTATACATTTTATGGGCATAAAAAGAGATGACATACCAATTTGCAGTGATTACAAACACATATCTATACATTTTATACAATATATTTAAACATAGCTATTATTCAAGGGTAAAAAATAAGAAAATACACAATCATGTGTATGCCAAAGTAATTATAACACTGTCAGTTTTGACACACGTCAAATTATCCGCCATTTCGTCTGATTCTGATTGAATGAAATGTGATGGTACTTTCAGACCCTTGTGATTGCTATTTGGATGTGTTTGTTTTTCTGATTTACTCAAAATCGTGCAAGCAAGGGGACGCAAAACAAAGAATCTACTTCTTATGGCCTTATCTATAAGTGTTCCCAAGAAAAAACACTTGATCATTCCTGGTGACAGATTAGCAAATACATGTACATTCTAATCTGGGTCTTAATAATCTCAAATGTTTTTATGGGACGCAACTTGGTATTTTCCAACAATGAATCCAATTTTGAAGGATGTCGTGAATTCAATTCAAATTTTGAATCACAAGTTTTGGTCATACTACTTAATAACAAGACACACAGTGATAAATATCGCACTTTGAAGAGAAAACTGGCCACCATGCAATTTACCCAGCATGGCCAAAACCTAATCAGACCTTGGCACTAGTCTGCTCTTCCATCTGTAAACATTTCAAGTTGACAAGGTTAGCGGTTTTCCTGCAATTTTGATGACAAGAATTTATTTGTAGTCTTGAACTTTGGGAAAATTTAGATAACATTGTTTGTGACCTAATTTGATGACCTTCGACCTTGAAAATTTCACTTTTTCAGACCTCAGTAGGTCTTTTGTAATTAGCTGACCTAAATTTAAATCCAAAATATCAATTTAGAAAATCAAATTTTTGACCTTTTCAAGGCCACTGAAGGTCAACGAAAGGTCAAATCTGAAATCTAAGGTCAGATTTGAACTTCTGAGAACTTGTAGATGTTTTTTAAAAAAATTTGGTCAATTTGGAGCAAGTTGAAAAATTCAAAATGGCCGCCAAATTGAAAAATTCAAAATGGCCACCATGTAATTCAGCCAGCATACCCAAAACCTAATCAGATCTTGGCAATAGTCTGTTCTTGCATCTGTAAAAATTTCAAGTTGAACGGATAAGTGGTTTTCCTGGAATTTTGATGACAAGATTTGTTGAAAAATTCAAAATGGCCACCACGTAGTTTACCCAGCATGCCCTTAACCTAATCAGATCTTGGCACTAGTCTGCTATTGCATGTGTAAAAATTTCAAGTTGAACAGGTTAGCGGTTTTCTTGGAATTTTGATGACAAGAATTGATTTGTAGTCTCAAACTTTGAGAAACTTGGATAACATCATTTGTGACCTAGTTTAATGACCTTGACTTTCGACCTTTAAAATTTCACTTTTTCAGACCTCAGTAGGTGTTTTGTAATTAAGCTGACCTAAATTTAAATCCAAAATATCAATTTAGAAAATCAACTTTTTTGACCTTTTCAAGGTCACTGAAGGTGAATGAAAGGTCAAATCTGAAATCTAAGGTCAGATTTGAACTTCTGAGAACTTGTAGATGTTTTTAAAAATTCAAAATGGCCGCCAAATTCAAAAATTCAAAATGGCCACCATGTAATTCAGCCAGCATACCCAAAACCTAATCAGATCTTGGCAATAGTCTGCTCTTGCATCTGTAAAAATCTCAAGTTGAACGGATAAGTGGTTTTCCTGGAATTTTGATGACAAGATTTGTTGAAAAATTCAAAATGGCCACCACATAGTTTACCCAGCATGCCCTTAACCTAATCAGATCTTGGTACTAGTCTGCTCTTGCATCTGTAAAAATTTCAAGTTGAACAGGTAAGCAGTTATCCTGGAAATTTGATGACAAGATTTAGTTTATGTCCCGCCCGCCCGCACGCACGCCCAAATGCCCGCACGCCCGCCCAACAGCACAAGACGACGACAATATAGCACTTTTTCAAAGTGCGATAAAAATATTCAAAACACACAAGAAGTGATCAAGATATTAATTCGAATATTTTGGATTGCTGATTATGAGCTTTTAACAAGTTTGTTGTCGGACTTTTTCATTGTTGGAAAATATTGAGATTGTATTATGGGAGCCAGCCCTCCTTGGAGTTAAGGGGAATAAATACATTTGTTACCTGCAGCACTACAATCACAGCATATATTGTTCCCTTGTAGTCTCTGTATCTCCTTCATGATCCCTGTTCTTAATTCCCTAACACTGTTTTTCATACTGCTTGCCTTCCCTGTATCTCCAAATGCCTCAAGTAACACAGACTCTTTGGCATTATTTAACACTGAGATCCAACTAGATGAAAATGAAAAAAGAAAGCACAACATTAGACATAGACACAAAGGGTGAAAATATGAAAATACCTCATTGATATTCTGCACATTTAAAATCAACTAAAGTGATATTAAGTTCTTACCTCTCCATCTCAAACTCATCATCAGCTTGGAAATGATATGTTCTGTTTTCTGAAATGCAACATATAGGGACATATTTAAATATGTAAAGTGGACCTATAATGACTATCGATAACAAAACATATCAAGTAACCTAAACATATTGTAAACATGTGCATTCTGTCAGCTATTACAAAACTGTAATTCCAAATGAGAGATATTAGGATGTGATGTTTGATAAGATTAAACAAACAGAGGGAAAGGAATTTCCTTGCTATTTTGCAAAAACACACATTTATTATGATATGACTCCTTAGGCCAATGTTAATTTGTGGGCCAATTAACTTACTTGAGCTAGATATCAGGTCAAAACATTTCTTCCCAGGGTCGTCAGGTATTAGCTGAAAAACAATTGTATTTATAAAAACACATATTAAAAATATGGCATGTAAGCATAAACAATACAAAAATGTATTTGTAAATACATATTCATGCATTTTGACACAAGTACAGTAATTTGTTTTTCACTTGTATCAGACTTAATACATGGACAATTTTTTGCTTCCCTATGTTGGCCAGGATTTCCAGGTATCGGATACACTCACCTTCACTTGGCAGGTCAACAGATTAAGTCTAACTGGATCTTTACTTTCCTGAAAACAGATATAGAAATATGTTCATTGAAGAAGGGGGAGTTTCATGTGGTAAATGAGGACGCTTAAGTACAATCTGAAAACCTATACTAGCAGATATCATTGTCTAAAGATTATGCCACCAGATAGAAATTCATTCTGCCATGAGACAGCACAAGCCTGTAGCCGATTTTGTCAAGGGGGTTTACTCTTCAAAAAATTCCAGGGGACTTCACGTTTGACAACTTTGGCCCAAAATCATTAGCGTGAAAGCATAATTTTGAAAGAATTTTTGCGAAGGGGATTTGTTCAGACACTCCAACCCCCCCTGGCTAGTAGCTACAGGCCTGCAACATCTACTCACATCTGAATGACTGATAGCCAGTGATCCTTCCTTCACAGAACACAGTCTTTTCTGCCACATTTTCTTCAGTTTTCCTTCACTACGTTTCAGTAAATAACCACGTTTTTCTGTGCCGTGACTCTTGTTGCCCTGAAGCTGATGTAGGTTGTACCCCGATGTTCCTGGGGTCACACCGACTGGCTGTTGGCAAGAAAATATGTGTATGTTGGGCATTAAATAACAACTTCTCAATACAATCAAATATACTCCGATTTACATATTGATATCTTTAACAATGAGATAGCTATAAATGAGAACTAAGTATTATTCACTTTTGAGTGTATTTTGCATTCAATAATTAAAAATAACTAAATATAGAATTTAACAGGCTTGTTGAAATGGTCACATACTTGAAACCATACAATTATACATGAATTATTATGCTAACCATCACACTGTAGCCCAATATCATTACACTAAGCTCTGGCACTAAGGATAATACTACAAATGCAGCATTCTTTAATAAAGGGACATTGACATTTTTATTCATAATACATTCTGTGTATATGTTGCAATTCTAGTATTTTTGGATCATGAGACAATAAACATGCTTACATTTAGTAATATTTTAATATTTTTTAATGAAATTAAATATTGGAAAGTACAATGCATTAATCAATTAATTTGCACATGACAACTTCAGTAGTGAATGTCTCACTTTGGGAAAATAATAAATTGTTAACGCTTATCAGTCTTTCAAAGAATATACTTGCAAAACTGGCATTTTTTTAACAAAATTGGCATTTTCCTAGTGCTGACAAGTATGATATTTTAAGACATGTGTTATTGAAGAACAGCCGACCACAGGTTCAAATTCAATGAAATGGTCCAAAATGTTGAGTAAAATGCTGTTAATATTTTTAAGGTTTTCAGGCAAGGTCAGAAATCCATGATTAATGTGGTTGGTTTTGCATCTGCTGAATTTAGTATTCATGCTCACACCACAATTTTCAAAACGGTTATAACATTTTTTCTGGAATTATTAGTGTGCAATTTGACTGATGCAAAAGAGGATGGACTGAGGAATTGATACATTTCCAAATATATTTGCAATATGCAAGAAAATATAGAGTAATTAATAAGTACTTTTTTGTCAAAGAGGTTAAATGCATAACATCAACTGAAGAAGTAGATAATAACAAGACTGATTGAAATCAACCCAAAAAATTATTTCAAAAACAAAAATTATTTGACATTTTGAAAAGCAGACAACATTGATTGCATATGAAGCGGCACAACTTAGGTCTGGAGACATACCAAGCCCATCTACTGCTACAGGCGACAATAAGGAAAGAAGTAACTTTGTCATTTACAATGTGTACAACAGTAATTATTTTGTGTTGCCATGACTGTTGTTTTTAAGCAACCTCTTTTAGAAGATCATTTACATAACGCTATTTTTGTCAATGTCTTCAAACTGTTCACAAAGTATGAACCTGTATCTAATTGCTTACAACAAAAAATAAAGATGAACTGCCAAAATTTGAATTAATTTTTGCTTTAGTTCTTTAGGATCATGCAACACATGATACTAGTATACATAACATAATACGATAATTTGAATATTTAAATTGATGGGCTCATAGCTGTAATTAGGGAGTTTAAGCTTGCATATAAACCGAAACGCCAACCTATATGTATGACCAATGGCCCATACAAATGCATCGCTTAAACAATTTACTTTCCCGTTTAGGTTGTGAAAAACAGTGGTAGCTTAAACGCCTTATTATCATCTGAAATAAGCCTAAAACATTTCAAAATAATGACATCTAGCTTAGATTAATGACATGTTACCTACACAATCAATAGACCGAAGGCGACAATTAGTTGATTCAATTTGGAGCTTGCCATACTCAGAAGAATTTTCTTCATCATTATGAATATTACTGTTTTAGGGTTATTAAGGATGACATTATTTCTACAGCTATTCACCCTTTAATAAACATAAAGAGATATGGATGCCTATAATTGTATTCAGAAACAAGGACACAATCATGTACAACATGTCCCCACCAATGGGTGATCCTATATAGATTTTTCATCCTAAATGCCCAACATTAATCAGTTGAAGAGACAAGGTTTTAGGACAAAAAATCCAAAATGGCCACCAAAGAATTATCCAGTGTGCCCAAAAAGCATATCAGTTGTAAACTTTAACATTAAAAAGCATCCCTAAAAATATCAAAATGATCCATCAAATGATTTGGCTGGAAATGCATAGACAAGACATTAAAACCAGTTTTTCCTAATGGCTAGTCCAAAATGGCCACCTAAATTTACCCAGAATGGGCATAGATGGTAAAATGCTCATTATTTAAAATTCGGGTCCAGTTTTGATTTCCAATTAAAAAATAATATACTTGTATATCCATGGATCAGCTGTTATTGGAATCTGAACCAATCCTAATAGAAAGGTGAGACAAAGCTTGAAATCTCTAATTTCTACCTCTAAAGTGTTTGAAAGTGACGATGAGGGACAGATAGACAGACACACAGATGTGCCTAGGATAACAATATGGCCTCACATTGTGTAGTGGGGACATAAAGGTCACTATTTTTGAAAGTTAATTGTCATGTAGTTTCTTGAATATTCAAAAAATCTTTATCTAAAAAACTGGTATGGCCCCTAAACTCATAGATTCACTATTTTGTTGAAAGGTGCTTTGAATATTATCCATATGTCAATAGTTGTTTTATGCTAGGCTGCAATTACAAGCCTCATGGTGGCATTTAGATGTAGTTGTATTGATGGTCGTTTTATTTCTTGCTGAAATAGTTTATTGTATTTGCCTCTACGAAATGTTTTGAATTAAATATATTGGCTCATAAAACTAGCACTTGTCAGAACAGTTTAACCACATGTAACAATGACACTGATGAGAAACAGAACAATTTTACAAATCATTATCATGCAGATATACATGTAGGCATCTTCAAAATGAATATGCACACTCTGTAAACGTGATGTTTAAATCCATTCTGATGAAATACAGACACTATCGTGGCTAGGAGCATGACATCAAATGACTTTCACATTGACATAAAATATCATACTTCATTCAATCATATAGAACAGCATCAGTCAATTCAACACAGTGAACTTTTCTCTGATTTGAGTTTCTAACATCGTCATTACTAGACAGACCAGGAAATATGTTTTGGTTGCTGCTTTATCTATCATTGAAGAGTATAGACTGTGGCACAGCTCCACCACAATTTTGCAGTAGTGATACAAGACCACTTGGTGACGCCATCAATGAATTTGCATTAAACTTGTACCAACAGATGCTGTCTGATTTGACCGATCCAGTGAATGACAATATATTCTTCAGTCCATTTAGCATCTCAACAGCACTAGCGATGACATACCTTGGAACTGCAGGAAATACTGCTACAGAAATGAAAGACGTGTTGAAGTACCCAGCATGTGTCCACCCTTTGTTCAAGGCTCTCCTTACGGCCTTGAATGTACCAAATAATGACTACACATTGAATGCTGCTAACAATCTATTCCCCGATGATGGTTTCATGATTGAGCAGGAGTATCGAAACAATGTCATACAGTTTTACTTTGCAACCCTTAAAGAGCTTGATTTTGAAAACAACAGTACTGTGGCGAGAGAATACATTAATGAATGGGTCTCAAACCATACAGAAGAAAAAATCCCAGAGCTTCTACAAGAGGGAGATGTCACAGCTCTTACAGTGCTCTTCTTGGTCAATGCAATTTACTTTAAAGGTGACTGGCTTAACAAATTCAATCCAGACCTAACAGAGCCTGCAACCTTTCATGTTAGTCCTTCAAATCAGATTCAAGTTGAAATGATGTACAACCAGAGCACATACAGGTATTATGAAGACAACACATTAAACGCTCAGCTGTTGGAGCTACCATATGCTGGAGAGGACATCAGTATGATTGTTATCCTTCCAAATGACCTAGATGGCTTGAGTAGTCTAGAGGCAACCTTGAATCCGATTAACTTAAAAGCTGCATTGAACGAGCTCTTATATCCTCGTAGTTCTACTCACACAAGTGTACAAGTATGGTTACCTAAATTTGAGATGAAGTTGCGTTATAAGCTGAAGGAATACCTCCAAGCACTTGGAATGGTCGATGCATTCAATTTCGGGGCAGACTTCTCACCTCTTTGTGGATCTTGTGGAGTGTTCATCAGTGCAGTCATTCATGAGGCATTTGTTAAAGTGAATGAAGAAGGTAACATAGTTTTTTTGGTCAAAGAGAACTTTAATGTGTTTTATGATGTCTAAACAATTCAACTGAAACATTGTTCTAGTCATTAAATGTAACAGGTTACAAATGTTATATGTGAAGAATTCTTTAACCAAATAAGAACCGTCATTCTATCTAATGGTTTTGAGACAGAATATCTAAATTGTCATTGAATGTTTGACTGAAGATTACAAAATTAGCTTTTTGTTTGGCAGTTTCAAATATTAAAAAAGTGAAATATTTTCTTAAAAATCTCCCTTTTGAAATGAAGCAACACTTCAATTTTGGCAATCTGTTTTGAAATGTAAACTATGGTAAGCATTTGCAAGATGGTGATTTATAGGGACAGAAGCCACTGCATCAACTGGAGTAGTCATCAACAGAGGCATCAAGTTGTTTAAGGCCAACCATCCATTTATATTCTTAATTCGGCACAAAAAGTCAGGGACCATATTGTTTATGGGGCGTGTTACCACACCAAGTAAGTCAGATCTGTTGTTTTTATAATCACAGGTATAGAGGCAACAGCGGCTACTGCTGCAACAATTTTCTGGTCTTTACCTAAAAGATTCAGGGCAGATCATCCATTCTTGTTTGTGATAAGGCACAAACAATCTGGGACTATACTGTTTATGGGACGAGTTGCACTTCCACAGACTCAAGGCAAGTTTAAAGGATATAAGGGATAGGGGCTGTAATCGTTGCAAGTGATCTTTTCAAAACTCATGCCAATGTTTTTCTTACAACCCTTATTTTATCTTCTAATAAACAAGTTATTGATATTCAAGATGCATATGGACAAGTGGACGACCCCTTTCTCCTCCTCCAAACAAGAAAAAGAGTCTGCTTCTTTTAGAGTGTCATCAACATGTTAATCTGAAGCTTTATTTTCTTCCAAAGATGATTCTGGAACTTCCAACCAATCGTGTTTGACAAAGATACCCTGCCCCAAAAAAAGAAAAGGTAAACTATCACGATGCTGTGGATGTAAATACATGTTTGCTGATCCAAAAACAAAGGTAAATCAAATGTAGGAGTGTGTGAATTATGTATATGTGAAAGTAATAAAGAGTAAAATATGGTTGTGAGAAAAATGACTTGATGATGCAGAACTACAGAGACATAATTACCCATTTTAAAACTTACTAACAATAGCCAGATGTTCATTGACCATTAAATTCCACATATCTACTTATTTTGACAAACACATCACTTTATGGCAACATTGATTAAGAACACAGTGGTGTATCTTTATCATACAACTATAATATATGCATAATCATGTTTCAGCGGATCATGACCCCCAAGGCTATGATGAGGAAATACAAAGGACGCAAATGTTTGGAGGGATGCATTCACAGAAAGTGTATTCCATGAAACATGTAGTACATCACAACTTGACCACAAAAACATAAACTGTGAAGATCGAAATGAAATAAATTACATTTATGCAGAAAAATTGTAAGAATTTGTTACAGACACCATCCACAAAAAGTTGGTGATTATAACTTTTTATATCTCCACTTATGGTGGTGACATAATAGTAAAGTTCTTATACTTGAACTGTTTTTAAGTAAATAAAAAAGATATGACCATGTAACAAGATGTTTTCTTCTTACAAGTAATACAACTCAAAGAGGTTATATTGGCACTTTGACTGTGGAGTTCCCAGAGATAAGACAAGGCATTAACATGCAAAATGTCAGAACCTGTCATTTGTTACAGACATCAAACACAATCTGCCAAACACCAACTGCCATCACAAAAGAGTTGAAGACTATAACATTATGTCACAACTTGTGGTGGTAACATAAAAACAACAGAAAACTATTACTGAGTAACATTAGAATTCATATACTTACCAACATAATACTATGCCTACGTTGCTTTAAGAGAAAAAAGAATACAGTATCATATATTGCATTGCTTCTGATACACTGTATCATATGTTGCATTGCTTCTGATACACAGAGTCATATATTGCATTGCTTCTGATACACAGAGTCATATATTGCATTGCTTCTGATACACTGTATCTTATGTAGCATTGTTTCAGATACACTGTATCATATGTTGCATTGCTTCTGATACACAGTCATATATTGCATTGCTTCTGATACACTGTATCTTATGTAGCATTGTTTCAGATACACAGTATCATATGTGCATTGCTTCTTGTATAACATATAACAAGCAAGTTCAGGTTAGGGCTAAAGTGTACAATGTTAGAAAACTCAATTGAGGACAAAAATATACATATATTAAGCTAATACTATAACACTCCTTACATCTTTATAGGCAGCCATAGATCCTTTTAATGCATCCCTTAGTTCTGTAAGATTCCGTCTCTCGCTATCTTGGCGTAATTTAATCTTGCTTATCTGTGAATTGAGTTCCTCTATATATGAACTGTAATGTTGAATTGTGCGAAGACCTTCTTGGAAATATCTGTAAAAATAGCATTTTAAACCTTATTGACAAGTCTATATGATGGTCTATAATGCTTTAGATCTTGAGACAAGTGAAACCATTCATACAGAGGACTTAGGATGAGACATTTTCCAAAAGTGCCTTGTATGTCTAAAAATATGAGCAAAAAAGCATGAAACAGCACAATGAACTTTACAACACAAAAATTATTAAAATATGTGTCTCAACTGTGTGGGAGTGTGAAAATTAAAAAATGCTTGCAAAATAAGTCAGACACTTACGTATTTTGTGCTTGATAGAATTCCACTAGATGCTGCAACAGATCTGTCCCTTTTTTAGTTTTTATTTCACTCACTTTTAACAGATACTGGAAGAAAATTTACTTACATTTTCAAATGAATTAAGACTGAATACTTTAACTAATACAAACATTACATGTATAAATAAAGTTATTAATGCAGAATTCGCTCAAAGCGTATATCTAATAAAAGGAAATTTTAACAATTTTAGTTTTCACTAATTTTATACTTTACACACATTGTGAATTACAAATAAATACATGCAACAAGAAACAATTAACATGCAAAAAGAAACAATTTTGTTCTGCCCAATCAACACAGGCGAACACAATGACAAAATGTTATGTTTAAGCTATCAAGAAATGCAAGAGTTGCAACCAGGTTGTTAGTCATACTGATAAAACATAGTGTATTCCTTCAGTCATAAGGTAATAGCCTGATTGATCAAAATGTTATGTTTAAGCTATTAAGAAATGCAAGAGTTGCAACCAGGTTGTTAGTCATACTGTTTAACCATAGTGTAATCCTTCAGTCATAAGGTATATAATAGCCCGATTGATCAAAATGTTATGTTTAAGCTATTAAGAAAAGCAAGAGTTGCAACCAGGTTGTTAGTCATACTGTTAAACCATAGTGTATTCCTTCAATCATAAGGTATATAATAGGCTGATCAAAATGTTATGTTTAAGCTATTAAGAAATGCAAGAGTTGCAACCAGGTTGTTAGTCATACTGTTAAACCATAGTGTATTCCTTCAATCATAAGGTATATAATAGGCTGATCAAAATGTTATGTTTAAGCTATTAAGAAAAGCAAGAGTTGCAACCAGGTTGTTAGTCATACTGTTAAACCATAGTGTATTCCTTCAATCATAAGGTATATAATAGGCTGATCAAAATGTTATGTTTAAGCTATTAAGGAATGCAAGAGTTGCAACCAGGTTGTTAGTCATACTGTTAAACCATAGTGTATTCCTTCAATCATAAGGTATATAATAGGCTGATCAAAATGTTATGTTTAAGCTATTAAGAAATGCAAGAGTTGCAACCAGGTTGTTAGTCATACTGTTAAACCATAGTGTATTCCTTCAATCATAAGGTATATAATAGGCTGATCAAAATGTTATGTTTAAGCTATTAAGAAAAGCAAGAGTTGCAACCAGGTTGTTAGTCATACTGTTAAACCATAGTGTATTCCTTCAGTCATATAGTATATAATAGGCTGATTGATCAAAATGTTATGTTTAAGCTATTAAGAAATGCAAGAGTTGCAACCAGGTTGTTAGTCATACTGTTAAACCATAGTGTATTCCTTCAGTCATATAGTATATAATAGGCTGATTGATCAAAATGTTATGTTTAAGCTATTAAGAAAAGCAAGAGTTGCAACCAGGTTGTTAGTCATACTGTTAAACCATAGTGTATTCCTTCAGTCATATAGTATATAATAGGCTGATTGCTCAAAATGTTATGTTTAAGCTATTAAGAAAAGCAAGAGTTGCAACCAGGTTGTTAGTCATACTGTTAAACCATAGTGTATTCCTTCAGTCATATAGTATATAATAGGCTGATTGATCAAAATGGTTGTCTGGCAGTTTAGAAATTGAATTTTGTTGAAATATGTTATTAGGTGTTCAGATTTTCTTAAATCCATACCATTGACTTATCATATTTAACGAGAAAAATATGAAATATATGAAAATCAAATTTTCACAGGCTTTATAGTATTGGTAAAGATGAAAAATACAGTACCTCACAAGCTTGCAATTGGAAGAACCTTCTCTCACGTTCTAGGTCTTCAGCAATCTAATAGAGAAAAATTTGCAGTACAATATATTAGTAAAATTATTTCTGTATCTTCCGTTACCTTTCAATGCATTACTTTTAGGACATTTTTGTTGCTAAAGTCAGCTGAACTAAAAAGGCATTTAATGGTTACCTCTTTTTAGACAAGTACACAGCAACAAGACAGTAATAACATTTATACTTAAAAGTATTTCAAATTATGATAAAATATACTAGAGAAATGGTTGTTGGTTTATGTCACCTCTTGTGGCTTAACCTCTCTTATCATTCCCGCCTCTCTGGCACTCTGCTCAAGTTCTTTCTTGATCTTTAAGCTGCAAATATATAACTCATACATCAAAGCACATATAATAACTTTCTCTGGTTAATTATACATATCTTACTACATGTAAAATTAAAGTAATGTTATTACTGTATTCTCTGTAATTAGTGCCTACCCCCTAATAAGTGCCCATGCCCATTTATATCAGAAAAAATAAAATTCCAAAGATATTCAAGTGGGGAATAATAGAGTACTTACACTAAACTGCTATTAACGTGACACATTTTGAAATTTGATGCATCCTCCAAATAAATATCTTTCATAATGAATATATATTCCCTCAGACTTACTATTTATTTTCATATTCTTTGGTTGCCTTATCAAATGGTCTCTTGTAGTCATCTTTCATTCCCCTGAGGTCTCCTTTCATGAATGAATCAAGTGGGAACATTATAGTGTTGTTCAAATGGGACATCTATAAATGTAAAAATAAACAAGTAATTATAACTAAACTCATAGAGAGCTGTTATTTACTGTATATGAATTTTTAAATTATGATGAAGTATATATCAGCTAGTTACTGAAGCTTCAAAAAATAGTTTGTGTATAAAGTGATGACTGCCTTGTAATAATGCAAAAGGTGCAAATTACTTTTTCAATTTTTGACTATTATGTCCTACGACCTACTGCTTACTAATGTAGGCAAGGAATTTTTCACGTTTCAAAAATTACAGAGAATCAGGTTTTAATGTCCAAGTCTACTGAATGAGTAATTTACATATTCAACAAGGTTCAATTATGCCAACTACGACTTAAAACCAATACTGGATGACTGATTTATTAAGCTTTGTTTGAGTTACCTTTTTTGGCTCAACCTGTACATTTCAAATGAGATAACCAACTTACTAAATTTTTCATGAGAGCAGATAAATCTTTCGCAATGACAGCGAACTTGTTAAAAGCGCCACCTATGTTCTCTTCCTGGTCTTTTGCACTAGAGCCGAGTTTTTCCAGACTCTCCGCAAAGTATGCTTCATTTGATACATGAGCTGGAATCACATAAAATATATATAACAGATCATGCAATGTATAAATAAAAAATATTCAATTTTGACCAATGACATCCTCCGAACACAGAGCTTTAGAATCTGTTCCTACTTCAAAGAGAAAGACAAAGATATTCTGGATCTTGGAGCACTGCCATGGGAGGATGACAAATCACTACATTTACAAGCATCACGCTAAACTGAAAAAGTTGGAGGGATAAAAGTACAACATGACAATTCAGCTAAGGTTATCATTAAAATTACATGACAAATGCAGAAGTGAGTAGCTCCCATAATTCTTTCATATTCTATTTTATTCGGGGATTCCCCATTATACAATCTCCAATCAAATTGCAGGATGTAATCACATGAACAATCATGAGTACGTGCTTTCTCAGTGCCGCGCATGCGCAAAGTAAAATTTGAAATCGTTGGCATTTATTTCAGTTAAACATCAGTTCAACATCATCATTTCAAAACTATGGTAATACTATTGAAGTTAATCGATGCAAACTTTCAGAGAATACTCATAAAA